TAGTCTGAAATATAAAAACTTAAATTCTTTTATTTTCATGTTAACACTGAAAACCTTTTCACTTTTTTTATTCACCTTTTCATCTATGAAATGACTAGACTAGTTTTATATATCACAGATAGTAAAAATAAAAACAACAATGACTAGCTTGAGGTTTTTCTCAGATTCAGTGAACATGAAAATAAGATAATTTAAGTTTATATTCTTCTGACTAAAAATCAGTACAAGTACAAAAAGTCTTGTTCTTTTATACATTTGATGTTAAATTGATCAAAATTAAAATGTATAATCTATCCTTTTTAGAGCCCTGTAGAAGGTGTAATAAAGTTCCGAAAGCTAGGCGAAGCTTTAAAATTACAAATATTTTCTTTGACCCCCCCCCATTTTAAAACATACCATTAATCCTGACGTATTTATGTATGTAAAGGCTACCTTCAAAAATCGGAATAAACAACAAAATCGGCCAAGGATAATCAATACCTTAAACCTGGATCTTTATAATTTATGAGTTTATGGAATTAAACCTCAATATTTTACATCATTTGTATTTTGAATTTATTTATTTTAATTATCTCTTTTTGCCTTACACTCTGGATAATGTTGGTCATATAGTGACAATCGACCCTGTCTGAGTTTTTATTAAGCGGGAATATTAATCTTTAAATTCACTAGTTTCGTGGTCCGTTTGACCAATTAATATCATACAATTAATTAAGGTTTTTAGTTGGGATAAAAAAGTCAATGGCACGAGCGGGATTCGAACCCACGATCTTCGGCTAGATACGCCGCTGAAAAATGGGAAAAAGGAGGGAAAATTCATATGGTGGGGTTGAGATGGGAAGTTAGTGTCCGAGTGGATAGATAGCTCAAGTGGTAGAGCAGCGGCGTATCAAGCCGAAGATCGTGGGTTCGAATCCCGCTCGTGCCATTGACTTTTTTATCTCAACTAAAAACCTTATTTAATTGTATTAATCTTTAAATCAAGTTGTAGTTCAGATCAAAACGTATTGGTCCCCTGGTCTCGCTTAGTCATTTAATTAGTCGTAAGTAGCTAGAAGAAAAGCATTGAAACAGACATAGCAGACATCTTGTGTTTTTAATATTTTTTTCTTTAAGGAAAGCATTTTTATTGATGTTTTTTTACAACAGTCGGTCCGCCTAATCTCGCTAATTTATAATTAAATTTACTTATAATTAAATTATATCCTATGGAAATGTGGGCCAGCAAAGTCACTATATACAAATCAGAAAAAAAGTATCGGTCCGCCTGGTCTCGCTGATTCATTACGGTGTAAGACCATTATTGGCTAAAGGTAAAAGTTTCACATCTCAGATTTCTTGTATTTTTTATTTTTGGATTTTTTTATTATCGGAAAGCATTTTTCGACGTACTGTGAGATTGCATTTTGGCATCTGTGTAACTTCGGTCCGCCTAATCTCGCTGATTTATTAATTGAATTTGCATTGTTTTCAACAAGTTTTGTTATTTATAGTGATAATATACTTATTTGTTTGTTTTTTTACACGCCAACAATGATTTTAATTAGTTTTGACCTACGTATTTTTTTATCCTGATCTTGAATGCTTAAACTCGATATTTTTGATAAAAGTCTAAAATGAATATTTTGCCGTTAGTAGAAATAAAACCAGAAACATTTATCAATAAATTAATTAATAAACGTGTTCTCGTTTACAGCGGTCCGATTGAAAATCTCTCTAGTCTTTACTTATTTTCTGAAATAATAAATATTATCGTTAATTATTATTCGAAGTAGATGTAATTTCTATTGTTTTAAACTTCTAAGTAAAGATTTATTTGATAATTATAATTTTAACTATTTTTGTAATCATTTATATTGGTCGTTCTAGCGTTAATATAAATCATAAATTGCTTTTTCGTCATAAATATATTTTAATGATTTAACTTTTACGATTAATTTATTTATTATAAAGTAATCTCCTTAATAGTATTAGTCAACTTGGCTGTAATAGTGAAATCGTTCTGTGTGGCTTTGCTGTTTAAATGAGAATTTTCCTGAAATAATTTTTGATCGTTAATTATTGTTATAATAAAATAATAAATCTCGCTGCTGGGTCAAATTGTTAAATTGTTGTTTTTTCCCCTCGTGTATCGGTACAATTTTCATAGATTTCTTAGCTTTCTTAAATAGATAAGATACTTTACGGGCATGAACGATCGGTCCGCCCATTCTCGCTTCATTTTTTTCCCGAAGCGTTTTTATCATATTTCTCACGAGGCTGTGGATAGATATATAAAGAATTCGTTTACAGGGCGTTGTCCTTGTTTGCCATGGATATTTTTGTGTGCTTTTAATGCTAAGGACATATTTTCGTTAAGGCACTGTGGAGTTTAACCTTTGGCTTTTAACGATTAAGGACCTACGTCAAATTTCTATGTGGACGGTCGATCCAAAATTGCAGACGGATTGAACAAACGATACGAAATTTCATCTTAAAAATTCAGAATTTGTCCTCTTAAAAAAATTAGATTGATTCAGATTCCAATTAGAATTCGATTTATTGGACGTTGTTCTCGTTTGCCGTGGATTCGTTTTAAGGCTAAGGATATTTTTGAGCGTTTAGTTAAGGTTGTTGCCTCTCTGGAGTTTTACCATTGACTTTTAATGGTTCAGAACCTGCGTCAATGCTGAGGACACTATCCAAAATTGTTCAAGGATTTGAAAAATAATGCTTGCAAAATGCCGATTTAAATATTAAGTATTTGCATTTTTTATTTAAACAGTAGGAAAAAGGATGGAAGGATTGCAATTCAAATTTAGTTTTTTGGGCGTTGATCTTGTTGGCCGTGGATTCCTTTTAAGGCTAAGGACATTTTTGACCTTTTTTGTTATGCTCCTTGGCTCTCTGGAGTTTTACACTTTTTCTTCATATTGGAACATTTGTTTAGGAAAATTCCTCTTTGGTCTTTCATTACAAAACTGATGAAAGATATGAACAACAAAACTTGCAAAATTTTGACTTAAACATTTTTAGGCGTTTTCTCTTTTTTTTAAATAGTTGGAATAAACAGAAAATTATTATTTTAGTTTGTCAGAGATTTGTTTTAAGCTTAAGGAACATTTTTCGAGCATTTTTTAAAGAATTGGATTTTTACTTTTATTTTCAATGATTCGAAACCTAAAAAAAAATTAATAAAAATTTCTACGAACACCTGTCAAAATTGCTGAAGGATTTGAAAAATAAACTTGTCAAATGTTGGCTTAAATATTAAATATTTGCATTTGTTTTATTTAAACAGTAGAAAAAAGGTATAAGGGTTGCAATTGAAATTTTGTTTATGCTGATCTTGTTGGCCGTGGATTTCTTTTAAGGCTAAGGAAATTTTTGACTTTTTTGTTATGCTCCTTGGCTCCCTGGATTTTAACCCTTTTTCTTCACATTGGAACGATCTTGCAGGAAAAATTCCTATTAGATCTTTCATTAGAAAACTGCTGAAAGATATGAACAACGAAACTTGCAAAATTTTGAGTTAAATATTTTTAGGCGTTTTCCAATTTTTTGTAAATAGTTGAAATAAAGTGAAAATTATTAGTTTTAGTTTGTCAGAGATTTGTTTTAAGCTTAAGGAACATTTTTCGAGCATTTTTTAAGGAATTTTTATTTTCGATGATCCAAGACCTTTGTGAAATTTTCTATAAACACCTGCCAAAATTGCTGAAGGATTTGAACAATAAACTTGCCAAATTCTAGCTTCAATATTAAGTATTTGAATTTTTTTATTTAAACAGTAGAAAAAAGGTATAAGGGTTGCAATTGAAATTTTGTTTATGCTGATCTTGTTGGCCGTGGATTTCTTTTAAGGCTAAGGACATTTTTGACATGCTCCTTGGCTTCCTGGAGTTTAACCCTTTTTCTTCACATTGGAAAGATCTTGCAGGAAAAATTCCTATTAGATCTTTTATTAGAAAACTGCTGAAAGATATGAGCAACGAAACTTGCAAAATTTTGACTTAAATATTTTTAGGTGTTTTCCAATTTTTTTTTAAATAGTAGAAATAAACAGAGAAGTATTCGTTTTCGTTTGTCGGAGATTCGTCTTAAGCTTAAGGAACATTTTTCGAGATTTTAGTTAAGGATCTGGATTTTTACTTTTATTTTTAACGATCCGAGACCTTTGTGAAATTTTCTATAAACACCTGCCAAAATTGCTGAAGGATTTGAACAATAAACTTGCCAAATTCTGGCTTAAATATTAACTATTTGAATTTTTTATTTAAACAGTAGAAAAAGGGTGGCAATTTTGTTTTTGATCTTTTCCTACGGTTCTTGGCTTCTTGGATTTTTTTATTTTGAATCTATGGTGCAGAAAAATTCCTATGATGTATTTCAATCCAACATTTCTGGCGGAATTGAACAATATCAACTTGTAAAATTCTGGCTTAAATATTCTGTATTTTTTAAATTTTAGATTGAAATAATGATGTCTGTTCTTAGGGGAAAAAGATGTTATGAACTTCTCTTACATAAATGTTTATATAAGACTGGTGAAGAAGATAATTCTGTAAAAAAAATTCCATTGCCTATTTAAGATTTTTCTGTCTTAGAGTTTTTTTTTGTTCATAGCCTAGAAAGGCGGAACTAGAAAGACTCATATATTTCTAAAATAGGCAAATTGCATCGTCCTAGGATGGGCAACGCTCGTTTGCGGTTTTCAGTTACGGCGCATTGTCTCTGAAGAAATACAAGACCTTGGCCGACTCTATTTAACGTCACCTTGTCCCTCAGTGATAAAACCTGACGTGAGCGAAGAGCCAAAAGGCCAAAAGGTGGGGAAAAAAGGATACAATCGGAAAAGGACTTTCCCACGAAGATGGCAGATTAATGCCGCCTGTATTTTTATTTCCGAGTACCGGGAATCAATTAATCGCGGCCTGGGGAACGGTAAAGATCAAAAGGCTTTAAACCACATTTCTCTTACTTTCATTGAAATCGACTTCGATACTTTCGTTTTTTTCCAGGACCATTTTCTACGCAGCAGCTACCGGCATTGGCTATCACGAGGTTTAGCCGAAATAAAAACTGGACATCGCCAAATAGCCCGTGGAGGCGAAATTGCAGGTGTGAGCACATCGCCCTGCCAAGGCTGGACCGTTTATACGAAATCGTGATCTGCATTAGGAAGCACGACGAAGTGTAAATACAATCCGGCCTTTTATCAGACTAATTTCATAATCTTAAAGATTACATTGTTCTCTCGGAAAAGGATAAACAAAAAACCATATTTTTGGAAAAGGTCAAGATCAACCCAAAATACACCGTCTTCCTAACCTTTCAATTAATCCTAAAAATTACCGGCAATTTGTCAAGTTTTCTAGGCTTCCGGCTATCTGAATCATCGGTCTTTTAAATAAACGCAACCTCTGAAAAATTTCAACGATTCAAGTTAGCCGGATAATTTATTACACATGATCCTTAAGTTTTTCCCATATGGGAAAAAGCTTTCAGCTTTTTCATCATCGAGACGTGTAACCGCAAGGACTTAAAGCTGAAGAAGAGGGTTTATTCGCGACGTCAAACCGGATTATAATTATCTTCATCGTTTAAAAAGATGAAGTCAGTATAATTATCATGCTGGAGTCGCATTTTTTTTTCTAGGCGCCCTTGCCTCAGTTATGAGGCCTTGAATCATAAAGAGATGAGCTCGGCGGTTGCCTACTTCGGATTGTGAAAGCACCATCGAACGGGCGATCACCTTCGCTTTTTCAACTTTGAATCTAAAAGTTTATATTTTATTTGATGAAAGATTATAAAAGATACCAAAAAATAAAAAGATAAAAACTCAAATGTTCGACTCAACTTTGCATTTTTATTACAAGATTAATCTGTACAGGTCTAAGTTAGTTTATTTTATGAATAAAAACTAAATTTAAAAAAATCTGTATAAAATATGAAAATAAAGGTCATTTGTGAATCATTTTTTAAACCATCTTAGGAAAGATATTTGTGCTGTCCAAGGATTTCAATTTTTATCGGGAAAAAGTCAATATGTCGACATTACATTCTTGAAAGAAATATAAAATTTATTATAAATAACTAATAAAAGGTGAAATATTGCGTTGTTTTTATGAGTTCACGATTTCAATTGCTTTTTCATGGGAGACTTTAAAGTCTTGCACCAGGCAATCTGAAAATGTTAAACCAATAAAAAAGAAGTTAAAACCAGTCAGGAAGACAAATAAAAGAAACGTGAACACATTGATTTTATGCTTAGAGCTTTTCATGAAGTCCTAATTGAAATCAAACCCCAGTTTTTTAAAAATATTCATTTTACCAAATTCCTTGCAGCCAAATCGGGACGAAAGAATAAATCACCGTCAATCAACTCACAAATACTGAGAATTAATTAAATTTTAATTTTTTTATAATTTAAATTAAAGCTAACGAAGATAAGATAACTTTGCATAATATTAATAATTAATTACTACAATAAATATTTGTTTTGTATTTATTTTACTGCCAAATTGCCTTCAGCCAAATCGGTATAAAAGAATAAATATATGCGAATCATACCATGAGCCTTTTTCGGGCAGAAATTTTTAACTAGATCCAGGCCAAGTACAAGTTTGGCCATACCAGGGATTTCGATCGAGATTTAAAATGAGATCCTGACTGAAGAAATAAAAAGAAAAATATAACAGCCAAAAAACACGATTAAATTAAAAACAATTTAATTTATTTAAAGCAGCAAAACATTAAAAAAGTAGGTTATGCATGATTTAAATGTAAATAGTTTATTTTTGAAATTAATTAATATTTAGAGGTTTTGTTTAAATCAATGGGATTTCGTCTCGTAAGAAAATTTAATTTTCTAACTCCAAGCTATCAGGTTGTAAATTTATATTTGATCGATAATTTTGTTGGAAGCACTAAGTAATGTTAAAACTATGATTGATTAAAATATTACATAATTTCTTGACGCAAATTATTTAAAATATCACCAGTTTTTTTTTTCAATCGTCAATCTAGGGCAAAAGAATAAATAAAGGCTATCTTTCAATCGCGTAACAGGCTTATGACCCCCTCAAGGAAGAGATTTTAACGCCTTAACTCCCCGTTGAAAGCGAGGTTGGGCGGACCAAATTTCAACATTTCGCCAACTGATTATTGAACAGATATTAACGATCACAGGAAAAATCAGCGATCAGAAAATGACTTATTTTAATCAATATTTGTTTTTAATCAATAACAGTGAATAGTTTTATTAAGATTTTGCATAATTTTGATTCCATCTTTTTTTAAATTTATTTATGTTTTTTTAAATTGATTGTAGTTAATTTCAAAAGAGTGATGAAATAATAAACAAAGATTGCACGTCAAGTGGACCGGAAGAGATTTTAACGCCTTAATTCCCCGCTGAAAGCGAGGTTGGGCGGACCAAATTTCAACATTTCGCCAACTGATTATTGAACAGATTTAACGACCACAGGAAAAATCAGCCATCAAAAATTGACTTGTTTCAATCAATATTTTCTTTTAATCAATAATAGTGAATAGTTTTATTAAGATAAAACTTTTGCATAATTTTGATTCAATCATTGTTTTTTGTTTATTTATTTATTTTTTAAATTGATTGTAGTTAATTTCAAAAGCGTGATGAGATAATAAACAAAGATTGCACGTCAAGCGGACCGGAAGAGATTTGAACGCTTGGCTCCAGGCAAAAGCGAAGTTGGGCGGACCCGATGTATCGACAATGATCAACCGTTATTAATTTTTTTAAATAAAAACAGTCATAAAATCGCTGATAAATTATTAACAGGAACATTATGAACGGCTAAGTGTGCAATTATTCACAATTAGTAACAAGTGAACTGATATTTTTCAATAGTTTATTTAATAAACAGCGAGTTAATCTATTTATTTTTTTCATTCAACAAAAAATATTTTAAAAATATATGTTGTTCTATTTTTTCTGAATTACTTTACTTTAATCTTACTTTCGAAAGAGATTTGAATGAACGTAAGAAAGTATGTGGTGAATAACAAATGTGAGACTAACAAAACAATGTTACAAAAGTTGTTTTTTCATTTTTTTAATGATTTGTTTTTGTATTGACAATGACCAACCGTTGTTAATTTTTTTTATAAAAACACTCATAAAATCACTTATAAATTATTAAAAGGAAAATTATGAACGGCTAGGTGTGCGATTATTCATAACTAGTAACAAGTGAACTGATAATTTTCAATAATTTATTTAATGCACGGCGAGTCAATCTATTTATTTTTTTATTCAATAAAAATATTTTAAAAATATATGTAGCTCTATTTTTTCTAAATTACTTTACTTTAATCTTACTTTCGAAAGAGATTTGAATGAACGTAAGAAAGTATGTGGTGAATAACAAATGTGAGATTAAGAAAACAATGTAACAAATGTTTTTTTCATTTTTTTAATGATGTTTCTAATTAATTTATTTTCTTTTTTGCTATCTGGACAAAATATACATTGAGCAAATGGTATAGTTATACACAAATCTGACAGCTCTGTCAGACCTGGCAGTGCGGAAAGAAACCAACCAGTGCTGGAACTCTCTTTTATTTAATTTTGTGAGTTAAGATATAAGGGATAGTTTAGAATGTTGAAGTGTATTTTAAAAAACAGTTGGTCGAGTAAGAAAATTGTGCTTGTTATCATGAAACTAGAGCAATATGAAAATAAACACACAATGCTTTTTTTTAACCAACAACTATTTCATCGTAGCAACTTCATTAATTTCTAAATGGAAGACCACGAATTAAATCCCGGAAAGTGTTTCCCTCCCTGCCCACATTGTTACCACCGGTTATCCTTGAATTCTTGCACTGATCTTCACTTTCTGTAATGACATCGTTTTCGTGATCTCGCCCGGTTAGATTGCATCTCGCGACCGAGATCCGAAAAGGAACAAAAACATCCACGGAACGAAACAAAATAAACATCGAGGCCTTCGTTTCTTCGGAACCTTGAGCCGGGGCGAAAACCGGCACGCCTTAAAATCTTTTGGGAGTTTTCAAACCCGTCGAAGGTTGTAGTCAAATTATGGATATTCAAATGAAAATGCTATCCGGTGTTTTATTTTTGTACGTGCAATTCTATGAAAAAAGAAAAAGACCGGGCAAAACAAACACGTATCACATTATAACGAAATCGGACAGCTTCTTGTTTCGGGCGTGTTTGTTTTACTCTTGACCTCGGCAACCGTTGGTTAAATTTTTATATAAATAAGTCAAAGGAGTGGCACGATAGCTCAACTCTTGACATCAACATGAGTATAATTTGCAAATCTCATGGATAATTTTTCTTTCAAATCTTGATTTTCAGAGAAGTCCGAGTATTCACGGTTACACTATCTTCGTCCTTTCTTCCGGTTCATTTTTGATATTTTTTTAGATTTCTTCCATTTGACAAGCTCCAAAGCGTAAAAAGTAAAGGAAAGTATAACAAATATAATAGCCAATGTTTATTTTAAGCCTTTACTCTTGGAAAACAGCCACAAAATGAAATCTTATGAATATATTAGAAAAGCCGAAGGTCGTGGGTTCGAATCCCGATCGAGATTCTAGCTTCATCTCGACAAAGACCTTAGATAAAAAGAATAATTTATTGAAATAATTAATTTGGGCAATTATGACCACTAAACATATATTGATTAATATTAGAAAATTAATAACACTGCTAAAACATTTCTAGAATGATTCTATTGATCTAGTACTTCGAAAGCAGTGTATATTTAAAGAAAATTTGAATTCAAGAATCTGAATCTCATCTTTAAAATATTAATTTTTAGTAGATGTCCTGGTAAAAACACCAAAACACAAAATCACGTTTCCGCTGATTTTTGAAGAATTACCTGCTTGTTCTCTAGAAGAAAAGAACAATATAAATAGTTTGATTTTTGTCTCTATCAGGTGTTTCTTTTCAAAATCTCAATATTTAGGCTACTTTTTTGCAACAGAGACAAGTATAGCTAATTATATTAAAAGAAAAACTTTTTTAGTTTCTTGAGTTTATATAGACACTTATCTCCTAAATCGTTGACAAAAATTTATAAGGATAACACGATTTTTTTAGAATAGAATAAATTTTTATTGTGTGCAATACAATATATACAATATTTTTTAAATGTATGGTGTCGTTTCACTGTGCGTCCTACTATTTGCAACTAATTATTTTTATATATAAAGATATATGTGAAATTCCATAATAATTTGTGGGAAAAAATGATAACGTGACTGTGTTGCGAGAATCACAAGTATTTACTGCTTATTTTTTAGTATAAGCTGATTTTTTTCAAAAAGTCCCACTGTTTACACCCATACAACACTAGCCTTTAAATCATTGCTAGTTATTGAGAGTTGATTTTTTTTTTTAAATCGTGACGATTAGTTGTAAGAAACATGTCGATCTGCTACTTGGCTATTTTCCTAAATATCAATTGATTTTTTTCAATAAAACCACAATGGTAAGCAACTCATCTGGCAAGAAACATGTGTGTCTTTTACTTGTTCTTTTTTTTTTAATATTAGCTCATTCTTTTCAACAAAACCACACTGATAA